AGGAGTGTTGTTTTTCGCGCGATTATTTACACTCTGATGCAGCGAGCGCGTTCGAGTAAACGTCGTCGAGTCTGCGAGTTACTCCGCTCGGGCACATATTCGGGACGCCCCGAGTGTCGATCAAGGCCGGCGCTCCAATGCGGTGTCGATCAAATGCAGGGCGCTCAAAGAATAACGATTGCGACGTCCTGATGAAAATTTAGTTCAAACACCGGTGCGATTTCGAATGCACGTTTAATTAATTATTAATTAAAATGTGAATGCAATCAAATGTGCGGAATTAATTGATATGACATTACCATAGAATATAATTTGTGAAAATACACTATTAAAATACAACGAATTAATATGGGCATTAAATTAACGAAAGCATAATTCAGAATAATAAAATATGCAATTTACATTGCTACCAAAATGTCACGTTAAATCAATTGAATTGAGTCTCTCCGTTAAATTCTTTATACGCGCATTATAATTGCACATGCATCTCAATTAGGTTTACATGCGTATGACGTGATAATCATCAATATTTGAGACACCCGGTGCATTTATCTGATGCAAAAGCGCTTGCACGCTTCGTATCGCGAATCGGAAGAACATTCTTCAACCTTGATCCACGCTTCTTGCGAGATTCCTCGCGTTTGGTCCACGTCTTCGGGATCAATCGAGTTTGTCGAGAGATTTGTCTCGCTTTTCACTCGATCGTCCCCGAAGAGCCCATCTCGGCGCCGTTGAAACGCGATTAGCGTCGCCGCTTTCTAACTAATCAACATATATTATATCCTGGCTACGTGCGTGTATGTATAACGTGACATTAACATCTGCTGTCCCTTTGAGCGAAGTGCCCGCGATTCATAAACTTTATACATTATTGCTTTTCCATGTTGCGCACGCACAATCCACCACGCGCTCTTCCTTACTGTATCACAATTTCGGTCGTTCAATTGTCATTATTTAATCAGAAGATGCTTCTTCTTAGTCATTGAACATTAATTTGGTTTGATCATCAATTATTAATTAAATATGATACCCATATTTTTGAAATTAATTTTCTTCAATCTTTTAATGAGTTTTTATTTGTTATATGAGTATCGTAAATATAAGTTTATAAACAGTATCAACGGCAGAATTAATTAATAATTAAATTTAAGAATAAAATTTAGTAACTCAAATACGTATAATATCGATTATACTTTACGTATTATACGATTATATAATAAAAATATAGCGCAACCGAAAAGTTAATTAAAACATAATTTTATATATTTCACAATATTTTCTGCTGTGCAATATTATTGGTAAATTGAAATGTGCGAGAAAATAAGATATTAGTATTCACGTTCATGTAATTATTTTATCATTTATGATAATAATACGCGCGATTTTAAATTATTGTTTTTTAATGAAAATCGCAGAAAGAGCGCGAGGAATGATTTTAGCGTGCACAAACGCACTCTCACATTTCGCACGCAGGACTCACACGCACACAAGGCGCAAGTTACTCGCGCCTAGATCGACGAATGCCACCTAAATGAATTACCGTATTACAACTTGTCATTTTATTCGCACTTGTCCATGTACAAACAATATGGCAGCCACGCTGACTGTCCGCCTTTATATCTCGCGTTATATACTTATATTTATATTTATATATAATATATATATATATGCACTTACGCGTAACGTATATTTATAGAGTATATCGTATGCATAGAAGGGCTCTATTTATTTGCCGTATTGTTCCTGCCGCTACATTGTCTAGCGAGTTTTCGTTAGTTAACTCCGGAGCCCGAAGGGCCCCAGATTCGCCTGAAGCTTTAGCGCAATTATAATCCTCAGGATCCCGTCCGACGGATCCCCCTTACTTTATTCGGCTAGCAGGAGTCGCAAGGATAACAGAAGTCCTCGTAGTAATCGTTATATTCGCGTTTTCATCGACGGTCGCTCGTATAATCCGTATCTACTTTCCCGGATTTACTCTTTTCATTTGTTGATCGTTGCTTCATCGCAACTTCTCGGCAATAAAAACAAAAAGATGGATATCTAATAAATAATTTATGAGAAATTGATATTTAATTTAAAAGTATTTTTTAAATCTGTAACTGAGAAGAAAGTAGGATCTAACTATGATTAATATTTTTGTTTCTGCATATTTTGCATAGCGAGTTAAGTGCTTCATTATAAATAAAGAATAAACAGTCCAAGAAGTATAAACAAATAAAATGAATCAGAAGTTATATGTGTGATATAACGTATGAAAAATTTTCCTTTCAATTAAGAAAAATATGACGTTTAAATTATAATTAAAGTTTAATCACTAAAAATCCATATCTTTATTCCGCATTTGTGATTTATCTTCATGATAAATAAATCTCGACGTGTTTGGGGCTTTATTAGATAAAACTTACTTAGCATCTTCCGACGTTCGAAATAAGTTAATGACGAACGATTATGAAGATTTTCAATGAAAGCAAAATTAGAGCCAGTTCAATCTTTGAAACACTAAACTCGCTAAACATTTTAGTGCCGTCTGCAGGACGATAGTAGCGACGAGTCCGTCGCAGGAAGGGATAATTATCGGAATCCCGAGGGTTATTAATCGCCGGTATCGAGATTATGATCGAGCCAGCGGGAGGACTTCTCCGGCTGCTGAATAATTCCAGCTCGTGAATTTCTGAGTAATTTGTAAATGTCAAGCGTTCGGCCGCCATTTGCAAGTTTTCCGCCTTGTATATCCCCCTCTCGTCTTTCGGGCTGACAAATCGACCGTTTATACAGGGTGCCTCCCACAGTCACGAACTATTGACATTGCGCGCCGTAATTACGGAGACGCGATGCGAGGCGACGCGACGCGCCGCGCCGTTTCGCATTGATATGCGGCGTCCTTATCAGGACGCCATCGGTTAATAAAATAATCGATGACACAAATACGACAGCTGAAGAAGTAATAATCAAATAAACGAGTAGCAGCGAATAAAACTGTAAAATAAAAAAATATTTACACTGTGAAATAAAATAATAATATACATTGTTCGGAAATTACAATCAAAAAAATAAAATTGTGTCTAAAATGTAATCGATGACACGATTACTTTTACTTATGAGTTAAAAATTAGACTATTCGATTTGTGAGTAGTTCTTTTCAGAAACATAAAAAATTCTAAGATATATTAAAGAATTTATATCTATCAAGTTTTAAGGCCGTTTTTATTAGTAAAAATTTGATTGGACGATTTATCTTTCTGGAATTCAAGGCACCCCGTATATTTCAAACATATATTTACAACTTAATAACATAAAAAAAATAAAATAAAAAAAAAGAATTCGGGGACTATTTGTCGGGATCGATTTGTTGTGAGATATTCCGTATACATGGGCGCAACGAAACTTGAAAACGGGCCACGATCGACTTCCTCGCTCGACCGTATTTTTCCAGCCTACCTCTATTACACACTTTTTTCTTTGCTTAAGTCGCTATCAACAATCTACATTTATCTACAACACTCGAGCTTCTCGCGACGCACAGCAGACGCACGTTTTTAGGTTTAGGTTTAGGTTTCAACTTTAACAAACACCTAATGGTCCAGTACGGGAGGAGGTTTGTGTTGCTTGGCCGTTAATTATACAGTAGATTAGTGCTTAGCCATTTATACAGACAGCCTCTCGCGCTACGGTCGATTTATTATACACGCGCCATACTCTCGTTCCAAACGATCGCGAATCACACCCACCGCTCTTCATTTCAATTTCTCCTATCGAGATATGTCAAATTCGAAAGTTCAACTTTTAATATCTTTTTTTTTTCATCGATTTTCTTAAATTTTATCGACCAATTCGTGCCGAGATTGCTGCTTGATCAGTCGTAGCAAAAACGCGATGTATTTGGTTTCCATTTGTTAATAGTTTAATATATCAACAATAATATCACGAGTTTCAACGTTGAAAAATAAAACATTTCGAATATATATATATATATGCAGTATCTTTATTCAACAATTTGCAACAAAATGTTTAGTTTATAGCTATTCACGGATTTTTAATTATCCCCCGTGCAACATGATTCTAAGTAATGAATTTTTAATTTTTTTTTTTTGCTAACCGAGATTAGTCGTCGAGAAAATTTATTCTATATACATTATATATAGAATGTATATACATTATTTATATATCTAGCACAACTCTCTAACTTTGTTACAACCCCAAAATTTTGATTATTTATTTTTCAATGTTTCCCGGTTTTTATATATCTCATCAATTATTCTCTACCAATCACTCCCTCCAGTAAATCACCATGTAACCAAACAGCACCGCGTACGATTGTTAATGATCAACTTGCGATGCAACTCGCGCCGAAGTTACGTCGGTTGCATGTCGATCGCGCAACAATCTCATCGCAAGACAAGATTGTGACGGCGAATTGTGCACTATGCGCGCAAAACGAAAACACAGCTTGCCCGATGATTTCCACCTGATTTCGCGCATTTGACAAATGTATTTCGCGTCAATCTTACTTCCGTATCAAACTCAAAGCGGCACCAATCGTTGAGTGCGTCATCGATCATTCGTCGCTAACCCTTTGAGTACCGAGCTATATAAAGCGCTGTTTTCTCCACACAAGGTATTGTTGCCGTGCACTACAGTATCTTTATTCAAAGTGGTAGAGTTATTATTTCCATGGGATGCATTAGCATCGATATTAAATGGTTTCAAAATATTGGAATATGCAATGAATACCTTGTAAAAGATACCCACATGAGTTTCTCATTTCCTTATACCAATATTATAACGATAAAAGTAGGTAATCCCAAAATACTTTAAGCTTTCAAGTAAATTAGTGCAGTTTTAAACATGTGCTATTTTTTTTATAGTTTTAATATATCTCTTATGATTATTATAAAAATATATTAATAAACAAGTTTCGAATAAATGTAAAATAAAATAAATATACTACATTATGTTAAATATAAAAACAATTTGTTTTATTTTCAATATTTTATTTTGAAAGAAAATAAATATATTTCTGTTTGTAAAAAATTAATATTAATTGACAATGATATGTTTCAGAATTAAATTTAGAATTGTGTTCAAGCCGTGGCAGTCGAAGGGTTAAAGACAAGACTCGAGGACACTCTTATTTTGAAGTATAATAAAAAAGTATCATTAAACATGAGTGTATGTAATAATGTCCTCAGAGGGGCGGTGAGCGATCCGCGATCGGTAAGCACGAGTGGAGATCGCTATGCGGATTCACCGATCGATTCCTGCAATCTGTCGATCCGCACAACGATCGAGGAGAAAGCGGGAATCCTTCCCTTCGTTGATCTGCGCCCTTTAAGGCCTCGAGTCCTCTCTCGTACGAATGGACTCCGCTGTCGGAGCTACCGCGATCACGTGCCCGCGGCACGTGGCGATCCTTTGCGAGGGAGACACTCGATACAGACTCTTCGCGGTGTCTTCGTGTCCCTGTCACGAGCCGCAGAGACACGCCGACCCGAGAAGGCCGACTGCGAGTAGAACGATGAAGAACGTTGACGACGACCTGGAGATCGCCGCCTCGTTGGTGTACGGCATTTTCACCTCGACCTCGGCCATCTTGAAGATCGAGAGCAGCGGATGCGTGTGCACCTCGTGGTGCTTGTTGTTGATCTTTTCACTGAGGTCTTGCATCATCGACGCACACTCCTCCTGCAAATCAAACCCTTTCATCAGCATTTATAGAGATTCAATGTTCAAGCTGGTTTTAATTCAACGAGAACTTGACATTTACTTAAGAATATTTAATATATTTAATGCTTAATATTTAATATACTTTTTAAATATTAATTATAATTTTGATAAAAAATCGACGCATTTTAAAATAAGCCTTTTCACCAAGTAAAACTTTGCTGTGTTAATCACAAAGAAATGATATCACAGCATAAAAACCATTTATTTAAGAAAATTCGTGTTTTACGTGTTAGAAATATTTTATAAAGCCAAACGTGTCTCGGAACTAAAATTATTTTATCGAAATGCGTCAATATTTTTATGCACTTTTGCTTGATCTGTAACATTCAAGTGAAAAATTAGTTGGAGATTAATCAAACTCAAGAACTTAAATCAGATTTGTGTTCCATAAAAGTCGTCTTAATAGCTATCGAAGAATCTGAAGGTGAGATGACAGTTCTCGTACACTCTAGATCGTTATATAACAGTTCAAATAAATTCTCTCCGCGAAAGTATAATCTCCTCGAAAGCACGCGCATTTTCCGCTCCACTATCAATAGTTGTTCCTCTAGAATTTGAGTTTCCCTCGAATACGACTTAACGACGTCGGATGTAACTTCTTCCCTCCTTCGTCTACCTCTTTCCAGACCGAATTCGGCATCGATTTCCATTTTCAACCCTCGCCCGCCCCCACCCGCCGCGCGCGGTTCTTGTTCCTCGTCCCCAAAATTACCCTCGGCTCGTTGAATCTTTAATTTCCGGCGTAGGAGTCCGCGAGGCTGGGAGCGATTTTTGGTGATATCTTTCTGGTGCGCCACGTGGCACGACCAGATTTCTCGACGCCGGCGTTTCGCCCGCTCGTTTCGTGCCGAGTGAGGTTTTCAATGAGATTAAATTCCGCGTGGAAGCTGGAATCTTGCGCGAATAACTTCGCCGTGACAAGTCGGCAGCGTAGCTCTCAGCGTGGAATGAAAGTTTCGACAAATTCGACCATGATGTCTCTGGTGCTTGAAAAAGGAACGCGTTCGCCATCTAATCTTATTTGTCATCCAATCTGAGATACATCATCAATTAAATCTACATTTTTTAATTTAAATTTCTCATCAACGCAATCGTAGCATTAGCACTAGAAAAAGAATTTTTTCTTTTATTTTTAAAAGCATTTCACCCTCTTTTTTTTTTAATTTTTCACAATTGCGACGTGTAATTGCATAAATCTGATATTCGTATGCATTAAACGATAGATTTATTTTCTCCACATTTACATGGTTATCGCTTGTATCCTCTACAATTGCTCGTATTCTGCAGGTGTTTTATAGGATACGCGGCATGCGACAGTAAAGATGCCACAAAACAATGTTGCGGCGTATCCGTATATTCGGTAATTAACCCGCAACGCGAGAGGAACTCGGGACTACAATTAGCACCAGCCAATACGTAAAATGAATTATCGCACTGGGCTTTTGTCCGGCCGTGTTTGGGTCATTACTGCTTCGCGCAGTTCCATTCAATTAGCCTAAAAACCTGGCCAGACACATTCCGAATGTTTCATGCTTCCTTTTATCTGCGCGGGTTCTGTCCATTTTGCGGTCAAACATAATTACAAAATTTAGATGGAAAATGGCAGATGCGCTGCACAAAAATAAAACGGATTAAATGGGTTTATAAGTAGTTTGAATCGCAAACCTGACCACTTTTTCCACCTTAATCCACTACATTAAATGTCAAAATTTAAGAGAACAAATAATTAGAAACGGAAATAAATAATAAAAATATATGAATAAAAAAAACGTTTTTCTTATGTAATAATATGAAATTTAATTATTTAATATAATTACCAACTCCTTAGATTTTTTTCTCGTAAGAGACGAGCTTATTGTACATGATAAAAGTACCGCATTGTATAATTGGTGCATTAAATAGAATAGCTAAGTATGTGAGAGTTACTCATTTTACTTTTTGCTGTATCATCATAATTTTTTTACGAGGAGTCGGCGAGGCTTTTAATTGCTATGTGTGTTCCCGTGTGTGCTCAGTTTCTCTACCAGAATAATCCGGCTTTGAATGCAAATGCGCAGTGTGACTTTTTTTTTCCATCGGGATTATCCGGCAGATTCGCAGCAGTATTGTGTGTTGCGGATATGTAACTCCTACTTTTTACCTCGCGGATTGCGCTGCTTATCCCCCCGTCGTGCTTCAACATCAGCCGACACGCGCTTAATTTTTCCCTAGATAATATTTTATTTAATCCGGCTTCGCCGCGAAATAATATATGTATAATACATAATGGTCTTTTACGAGATTTTCGTTTGTTTCTTCAGTGAAACATCAGTTCCAGAGTGAAAATGCCGAATAATTCAACGGAAATCTTAATAAAGTTAAATAAAAGCGTTTTTAAAATTTATATTAGATGATTTTACAGAGGTTTTTGTTCATGTTAAATTACTTATTGTTAAATTAATTATTGCAGACATTTGGTAAAGAAGATTTCTTTTCACGGAATAATAATGATGATTTTACTCTTGTTGTTCTTTCCTGGTGTTTTAATTAATAATATTTTGAGAGGTGTTTAATATTAAAATTACAAATAATATTAGGTTATTGCTCTTCCTTAATTAAATTAAAAATCGTGTTAATATACAGCAAATAGAGCAAGAGCTGGGTCGAGTTGCTCAAAAATTCATTTTTATTACAAAATAATACAGACGTTTCGGCCAAGGGATGTGGCCATCTTCAGTGTAAATTTTTACAAGACAAAAAATTTTTTAAATTTAGTACATGAGTAGAGAAGCGTTGATAATGACATTCAATAAACAAAGTTTTTGATTAAGGAAACGCATCCTCTGATAATACGTGTCGTATATTATTTGTAGTTAATTAAAATATATATGTGTGAAGCCACGAACCGTCTAACTTGAACGGTTCGTCAAAACTATGTAAAAAGAAATTAGGAATGTGACATGTGTCCACGGCAGTGAGTGGGACTCGACTGGCATTTATATTATTTATATTTATCTTTTAAGTGAAAACAGTATCTTTTAGTATCACAGATTGACTTAATTATTTCTCCTAATTCCGTATTTATAATTTCACATTCATCACTAAACAACTTACGACAGTTTAATTTCTTTTTACCATCATTTGTCATTGCTTATTAATTCTTTCTTTCAAGGAATATTTTCAACTATATAATAATTGTATCGACCTACTAAAATGATTAATTGTGACCGAAATGATAAAATTAATCGCGGATTGTCGTGATTTCGTGTCAAACATAACGTTCCTTTGTTTATGACGATTATTTAATATTACATTTTAATATCAAACTATCGTACAACGAAACTCTCTTGCAGCTCGATGATTGTTCTAATTTACGCTCTCTTGTATTATGCGGTACGTGCCTCTTCTACTATATTAATCCGGGGTTAGAAGTACATTCGTGTTACGTTGCGTTCCGGTGAAATAATTTTGGTTTACAGACACGCGCTAATATAATTATTCGGAAATTTGCGAATACAAGTAAATATATATATATATATATATATATATATGTATATATATATTTGAGAGACAGAGCAGAGAGAGTTAATAAATCATTTACATAAATATCTAATTTTAGAAATAGATATCTCTCACGAATAATATTAAGCTCACTCATAAAAGATCGTGTAGCATAAATGATCCTAAGCGGTTTAGAAATGAAGATTACTATATGAGCTCGTGCTTAATGATCGCAGATAAAAGTAATTTTCAATGAATTAAAGCAATTTCAGCGAATAATTTGCATGTAATGAATCTACCAAAAACAAATTAATCTAAGCCTAGTTTTGGAAACTATTAGCAACCTAATAAATTTAATAAAATGTATTTTTAAATTGATTTGTATCGATTTCTTATCAAGATTTTGGAATTAATTTTAGATAGTTTTTAAAATAGTTACTATAATTTTGTATGCAAATTGCAGGCTTGTACAACGAATCTATTAAGAATATATTAGAACTTAATAACTTAAAATTTATATTATATCACATTGTGATACAATCTAAATTATACTCAGCTTTCTATCTATGACAAACCAAATATAAAAGTAATAAATTGAAATTAAACTGCAACATGATTAATTTTGAATGAAATTGTTTATAAAATATATTAAAAATCTATTATAATATATTAATTTAACAATGAGAAATTTAATTAAGATAATTAAATTTTGAGAAAATCAAAATCAATATTTTTATTTCTATCAGTAATGTACTCTAGAATTAGTCATTCTACTTTTAAGTAGTATAAATAAAAATTAGACAATAACAATTGCGTGCTTTTTGCATAAAACTCTTCGGAAACTCTATGTATTATATTGATCCAAGAGATTTAATTAGAAAGATAGTCTTAAGAGAATTAAAATGATAATTTTGCATGTGTCAGTAGTGCAATCGAAAATTAATCAGACTTATTTCAAGTGATATAAACCGAACAGCGGCAGTCGCGCGCTTATCTCTGCAATTAAACTATTTAATAGCACCAAAGAAATGTCGCGAGCAATGGCACTAAGCTTCGAGCATGATCACGCTGTTCTCTGCAAAGGACGATCTCAATTCACGATCACCGGAAACTAATGGTTCTCCATATAACCAGCGTCGTCACGAGATCGGCCATTTATCCCTGCGTGAATGAAGACAGGTGCAAGACGCAGTGCAGTGCACTTGCAGATGCGATTGCTGTTGGCGACTGGGGCAGGTACTATTATCTCTTCCGTTAGGACGAATTCCTTATTAATGATCGGCTAATTGGATTTCTGGATGAAGGAGTGATTACGTCAAAATGCAGTCTGGCGCATGTTGACAGGAAAGGGAGCAAGAGGTAAGAGATATATAGGGTGTTCCAAGTTTCTCGTAGTCCCTTTCTACGAATTCTTCATTTGATTTGAAGGCGAGCTTGCTTAATAGGCAAGTTTTAAAATGTAGAGTGACACATGGCAC